GCACGCACCGAGTTCGCGCCGAGCACGCGCCGAGCACCCACCCAGTTCGCGCCGAGCACGCGCCAAGAACGCGCCGAGACGCACTGAGCACACACCGAGCACGCGCCGAGTTGGCTCCGTGAGTAACACCACGTACCATGGCCCTGTACAAACACCTTTGTCAGAAGATCTTAGAAGCACGTCCGACCCCCGGAAAAGACAGGAGCACCTCCCTGGGCGCATGGTAGAGCAACAGCTGCAGCAGGTCCGTCTTCTGCTGCTCCCGGGACTTGTCCTCTGAAAATCATGTTCATTGTTTAGGGAGGAAGTGAAAGCCCCCCCCCCCCCCCCCGAAAACTAGACCACGGTTGGCCCGAAAGCAGCACAGCCCCGTGATCATTCCTGCGCAAGTTTTTTGCTCGATGTGCAATCTGTCAGCTATACAGCAAGAGCAGCACTTCACTTTCGAAGGCGTTTCCTCTACTCTGGAACCAGAGGAGGGCTTCACTTTCGCTTGTTGCTCGCGACCTCCGGCTTCGCGGCGAGCAGGCCCCAGACCATGTCCTTCTCTTCCCTGAGCGCAACAGTCTGAAATGAATGTGCTTGCAACGCTCTTCAATGTACGTGCAAGGCCGAGCAGGCCCCCCCATTATCAAGCGCTCGAGCCATCCAGAAATGGAGATGCACCGCGTGCAAGGTAAATTATAAGGTGCTTGCAAGGCGCTCTTCAATGTACGTGCAATGACTTTGCGCAATGCTCATGATGGATCTGTGCAATGACTCTCACGATGACTCTGTGCAATGACTCTCGTGATGACTCCGTTCAATGACTCTTGTGTGATGACTCTGTGCAATGGCTGTCAGTATGACTCTGTGCAATGACTCTCATGATAATGATTCTCCCAATGGAACAACCTGACTTTTGCTCTGCCCAAGTTGCCCGGCGCTAGCTGCAGTTGCGATTTCTGTCTAGAAAAGCTGCTGCGGAACAGGCGGGGATCGAACCCGCGACAACTTCCAAAGACCAGTTCGCAAGCAACAAATTCGCACGGCGCCACAGCGAGAGCGCTTCGACATGTACGATCCCCGCAGAGGATTCATCGGGCACTTTGCAAACTCGCACGGCGCCGCAGCGACAGCGCTTCGACCACACCGATCTCCGCACGGGGTCGCGCGGGCACCGCAGACATCGGAAAAAGTCCTCCGTTTTTAACATCGACCGTTGCTAAGCATCGTAAAAAGTCTTCAGTTTTTCAATGTCGACCACGCCGATCTGCGCAGAGGGTCGCTTGGGCATGTAAAAACCCGTAAAAAGTCCTCCGTTTTTAACATCAACCACGCCGATCTCCGCAGAGGGTCGCGCGCGCAGAATAAAAATCGTAAAGACAATTTGTTAACATCGACCACGCGGATCTCCGCAGAGGGTCGCGCGCGCGTGCCGCAAAAATCGCAAAATGTCCTCAGTTCTTCAACATCGACCACGCCGATCTCCGCAGAGGGTCGCGCGCACAGATCAGATATCGCAAAAAGTCCTCACTTTTTGAACGTCGACCACGCCGATCTCCGCAGAGGGTCACGCGCGCACTGCAGAAATCATAAAATGTCCTCAGTTTTTTAACGTCGACCACGCTGATCCCTGCAGAGGGTTGGTTTTCGTAGAGTGCTGTCGGCCCTACCCCATCGCCCTAAGAAGAGAAGATGATAACTCTTTGTAGTGACTCTCATGATGACAACTCCCATGAACCCAACGGAAGAACCCTTCGTCATGCTTTCCGGGAGGATAGTGGGGGCCCATGTCTCTCTAAATGAGCGGAGGGTCTGAAATCATTTGGATTGATTGTTGAAACAATTCGATTTACCCATTCCCTTTCAGCTTCCTTTGTTTGGCTTTGCGCGGTCAAGCTCTCAGCCCAGTCATGACCATTCACTCTGGAAGAGCATGGGTTGGGTCGCAAACCAGGTACTTTCTTCTCACAAGCGATCCGCCGTTGAACCGCGACTGCGGCACTTGCAGCTCTTTTAGGAGCAACCATTCCACGCGCAAACATGGTGTTGACAGACTTTCAGGTGTCTCCCTCGGAAAATCAGCACAAAAGGGTTGAGAACGCAATCGCTGAACCCAGCCTGGTTTGCTGCCACTTCGCCCTGAGCGTCAGATTCAGATTGCGACGTGGTACTTGGGATGCAGTGGATGATCTAGATGGTTGCGCTTGTAAAAAAACGCACAAAGTGGTTGGCTGCCCAGGCCTCCTGTTACACCAGCTCCAGACAAGGCGCCCTAGACACGCCCAACTGTTGCACATCAACCCGCAAAACCCGTCAAACCAGCGCGGCAAACAACGGAAAGCGCAAGTGACACTCCAGAGGGCACCCGCCCCGCGAATCATATTGAAGGGGTTAGGATAGCATCCGGCGAGGGTACTACCTTTGGCCCGCCTTTGGTTTACCTTTTGGTTTGCATTGGGTCTGCCTTTGGTTTGCCTTTGGTTTGCGTTTGATTAACCTTTGGTTTGCTTAATGTTTGCCTTTGGTTTGTATTTGGTTTCCTTTTGAGTTACCGTTGGTTTGCCTTTGGATTGCCTCTAGGTTACATTTGCTTTGCCTTTGGTGTGCCTTTGGTTTGCTTTTTGGTTTTGCTTTCGGTTTGGTTTTGGTTTGCGTTTGGTCAGCTTTTGGTTTGCTTCGGTTCGCTCTTGGTTTGCCTGTGGTTTTCTTTTGGTTCGCATGAGGTTTATCTTTAGTTTGCCTTTTGTTTACCTTTTTTTTGGGTTTGCGCCTTCGGTCTACTTTTCGTTTTGCTTTTGGTGTGCCTTTGGTTTGCGTTTGGTGCCTTAGGTTTACTTTTGGTTTGCCTTGGTTTGCTTTTGGTTCACCTTTTGGTTTACTTTGCTTTGCTTTTGGGCAGCTTTGGCCTGCTTTGGTTTTCTTTTGGTTTGCATCTGGCTTGCTTTGGGTTTGCCTGTGGTTTGCCTTTGGTTTGCTTTTTGCCTTTGGTTTACCTTAGGTTTGCGTTGGCTTGTCTACGGTTGGCTTGCTTTTGGTTTTCCTTTAGCTTGCTTTTGGCTTGCCTTTGGTGTGCTATTGGTTTGCCTTTGTTTTGCCTGTGGCTCACCTTTGGATTGCTTTTGGTTTGCTTTTGGTTTGCCTTTGGTTTGCCTCTTGTTTTCTTGTGTTTGGTTTGCTTTTGGATTGCCTTTGTTTTACCTGTGGTTTGCCATTGGTTTTCCTTCGGTTTGCTTTTGGCGGCTTTTGGTTTGCTATTGGTTTGCCTTTGGTTTGCTCTTGGCTTTCCTTTGGTTTCATTTTGCATTACCTTTGGTTCGCCATTGGTTTGCGTTTGCTTCGCTTTTGGTTTGGGTTTGGCTTGCTTTTTCTTGCTTTAGGCTTTGATTTGGTTCGACCTTGGTTTACCTTTGGTTCGTAATTGGATTTGCCTTTGGCTTGCTATTGGTTGCCTTTGGTTTGCTATTGGTTTATCTTTGGTTTGCTTTTTGATTTGCCTTCGGTCTGCTTTTGGTGTGCTTCGGTTTGCTTTTGGTCTGCGTTTGGTTTGCTTTTGCTTTGCCTTTGGTTTGCGTCGGATTGCTTTTGGTTTGCCCTTGGTTTGCTTTGAGTTTGGCTTTGGTTTGCGTTGGATTTGCCTTTGGTTTCCTTTGGTTTGCATTTGGTTTGCTGTTGGTTTCCTTTGGCTTATTTTTCACATAGCGAGCAGGCTTGTAAGGTTCCTGCAAGAAACTGGTGTCGTTGGCAGGGGAGCCAGGAGCTTGGGTAAGGAGCTCGGCAGGCCAAGAAAATCTCTGATCCAGCCGATTGATTTGCCCTTGGTTTGCTCTTGGCTTTCCTCTGGTTTCGTTTTGGTTTACCTTTGGTTCGCCATTGGTTTGCTTCTGGCTTGCTTTTCCTTTGCTTTTGGCTTGGCTTTGGTTTGCTCCTGGTGTGCGTTTGGTTTGCTCTTGGCTTTCCTTTGGTTTCGTTTTGGTTTACTTGCGCTGGGCCATTGGTTTGTTTTTGGCTTGCTTTTAGTTGGGTTTGACTTGTCTGTGGTTTGCCTTTGGTAAGCTATTGCTCTGCCTTTGGACTGCTATTGACTTACCTTTGTTTTTGGTTTTGCCTTTGGTTTGTTCTTGGTTTGCTTCGTTTGGCTTTTGGTTTGCATTTGGTTTGCATGTGGTTTGCCTTCGGTTCGCTTTTGGCTTGCTTTGGGTTTGCTTTTGGTTCACCTTTGGTTTGCCTTTGGCTTGCTTTGGGCTTACCGTTGGTTTGCTGTGGGTTGACTTTTGTTTGCCTCTGGCTTACCGTTGGCTTGATCTTGGTTTGCCTTTGGTTTGCCTCTTGTTTTCCTTTGGTTTGCTTTTGGGTTGCTTTTAGTTTGCCTTTGGATTGCCTTTGGCTTTACCTGCGGTTTGCCATTGGTTTTCTTTTGGCTTGCTCTTGGTGTACCTTTGGTTTACTTATGGTTTGCCTTTGGTTCGCTGGGCCCAAGCCAGCTAGACCCAAGTAAGAGAAAGCCAATATCTGCGCAACCCTTCCAAGCGCTAACGCACATGCAAGCAACAACCCAAACCAGCGCCGACTCACATGGCAGGGAATGGGCGCCTGCTTTGTCGCTGTGTCACACTCCCGAAATGCCCAGCCAGCACATTGGCCCCCGCTTAACAATGCCGGAATATTAGCAACGACAGGGGGCCTCTCTGCGACGAACAGAGCTTGCGCGGATGCAATCAGTGTGTAGGATGTTGCAACAGGTGATGGCCTCGCCCAGTGCTTTCAATAGCCTCTTGTTTGTAGGTAGCGAATGGGAAGCACGACTAAAATACTGAACGGCGACAGACTCCAAAGTTACCTACTGAAGAAGCGAGCGCCCGCAGACCGAAAGCGATAGCCAGTGAACGCCGAGCGCTAAAAGCAGCCAAAAAAGACGCCTAAAAGTCCAAAGGAGCACCTCGACACAGGCTCCTCGAACCCAAGCATCAGCATCCCCAGCATCCTCCGGCATCCCAGGCGCTTTCTGCGTTGAGTTGGCTCGTTTTGCGTGCTTTTTTGGCTTTTTCTGGGTCAAAAAAGGACCGCTTCTCCTTGCTTGCTTACTGCTTGCGTGTTTCGCGCTTGGACCTGCCTCGGGGATGCTGGGGATGCTGCGTGGGGGTGCTGGCGGCTCGGCCAGCACGCGGGTTGCAAAAGCGTGGTAAAACGCAGGTTTTTGAACAAAAATGCAGCGAGCAAGCCATTTCCGGTCAGATGGACAAGACACCCAAATCTTAGCCGTCCTTTTCTGGCGCGAAATTCTGCTAATCAGGCCGACCAGCCGAACACCCCCCCCCCGCTTCCCCCCCCCTGTGGCCCAACTTTCAACCGCTTCAAAGAAGCGCTTTCTGTCATCACGGTTAGTTACAAGGTTTACCCTGGTAAGCTATGGGAGTTCAAGGTGTGCAACTTGAACCCTGCTTGAACCGCATGCGCCGCAGCCACGGTGCAAGCGCAAATAGGCGAGCAGAATCCCCGTACGTGTTCCTGACTACCGCCCGCGTAGCGCATTGTCACAGATAACTACCCGAGAGCAACAACTCTAACGCTATGAGATTTGGGGCAGCCAATTCTGGGGTTTCGCAGAACCATGATGTTTGCAATCTGTTGACATTCTTGCTGCCTTCTTTTTCGTGTTGGCTTGTTTTTGGGAGCTTTGCACAGCGGTCTCTAGGTGCCTCGGCAAGGGCTGCCTCCAGCTCCTGCGACGGGTCAGGTGAGCCGTTCCTGGATGGAGGCTTGTTCGGCGCCATTTCCTTGATCCCTAGTAAAAACTAGATCTTTGAAGAAACCCACAAAATGGATTGCCAAAAAGCGACAACATTCGACATCCTGAACAAGACTCACCAATCCCAAGCGTGGAATTGTTCCATTGAGGTACGAAACTAAGTCCAGGTGTTCTCTAAATGAAACTAAATGAAAGAGACCTTCCCCCCGGGGCACAAGGTCGCAAGTTGCAAGCCAAACCTTGCGTGCTCTAATCGGCTGTAATCCGCCGACCCCATGCCTGGTCCAGAACGATGTGTTTTGCGTTGATTTTGTTTATCGGTTTTCTAGAGTATTACTGTTGCAATACACGGACTGGATTTCTGGATCTCTGGATTTCTAGATCCCTGCTTCTCTGGATTGGGGGTTGTGTGTCTACATTGTAGAGTCAAGGCGCAACAAGCCGCAAGACTGGGCGGCCACTGGGGTACAAATTGAAGGGTGGCAAGGCACAAAATCCCTCCTAGACACCACAAGAATGGGCGACCAACGTGGTACAAATTCAAAAGAGCTACAGTAGGCAAAAGAAAGAAAGAAGGGAAGAAAGAAAGAAAGCAGCTGCAATGTGCCATGTCTACATTGCAGCGGCAAAAGAAGCAAAAGTTCTGGCTTGGCACAAATTCTGAATGACCACAGCAGGCAAAGAAGCATTTGGTATGTTGTGGGGTGTCCAAAAGTAGCAAATTTGCAGCTGGACACAACATCCACAGTCTATCGCTATCTTTCTATCTGCTCTATCTACTTATGCATCTGTATTTACCTCTCTCTCTCTACCTATCTGGACATGTATCTATCCTTGTCTATCTACGGCTTTTGACTACTCCTTATAGTTGTTCAACCCCTCCTGCAAACAAAACGCTGATCTTTGTTTTTTTCTCGCAATCTACCTATCTATCTATCGACGTACCTATCTCTCTATCTGTCTGTCTGTCCAACTTTTCTTCCTTATCTACTTATCAACCTGCCTACCTATCCCCTCTACCTATCATTCTCGATCTATCCCATCTCTCTATCTTCCGATTTATCTTTCCGCTTTCCCCATCTCTCTCTGTCTAAGTTGCGAAAGCATTGCGCCTGCCACGAAATCTGCACCTGACCTTGCAAAAGTGCCGCGATCTGGCTAACTTTCGAGCATCCCAAAGCACCAACGAAACCCGGAGAGGGCTGCGCATTTGACTTTGTTCACGGTCCTATTCCTTTTCGCGCGCGCGCCGTTTTTTCCGCGCGCCGATTCCTTTTCTTGACGTTTGCCGAAGAGAGCCAGCCTTCAATTAGATGCCGTAACGCAGAATTCCTTCTCAACTTCGATTGAAAATGCGCGGACACCGCGTTACAAATTCAATCAAACCACAGCAGGCAAAGAAAGACGCGTGTCTACAATGTAGCAGCCGGCACCAAATTCTGCCACCGAAGGCAAAAAACTCAGAATCCGGTAGGTCTACATTTTAGGGGGTCAACGGATAACATGCCCTGAACACCACAAGAATGGGCGGTCAGCGGGGCACAAATTGAAAGGGGCGACTGTGTCAAAAAAGGTCGCAAACCCCTGCTGAACACAGCGAGAATGGGCAATCACAGGCACAAGTTCCACCGAGCCAACTATAGGCCAAAGAAAAAACATCTTGTTGTCTACATTGTACGGGTCAAAAGGTACAAATCTCTTGTGGCCACATGCGCAGCAGGCGGCTGGGGCGGCTGGGACGGCTGGCGCAAATGGCGCAGAAGCGCAGATGGCTCGGATGGTGCGGATGGAGCGCGGCCCGCGATGAATATATCCCAACGCCTTTTCTCTTTGGCACATTGGCCAGGTCAAGCAAGTGCCTGTTCGCACGCATACTGGGACTAACTAACTTTGCCTTCAGATTAGGATTTTACCACATGAGCCGTGCTTTCGTGCTGTGTTGCGCGCAGGCAACATACCCTATATCCCCTAAACATTCCAACTCCACAGCAATTCTTTGCTACAGGAAGAATTTGCTAATGGCCCATTCAGGGTTAGTTTGACCAGAATGTCTTTCACTTTCCAGGTTGCGCTGATGTCAATCATACGTGACCCGCTGAGTCGCCGGTGAAATTTGGGGTGTCTGAAAAGGACCCCAAAGCCTTGGCCCAATTTAGCTCATTGTGACAAACAACCTTTTGCCGTGGCACAATTGGGAAACCTCACCTCGTTGCTCCAATAAATTAGTCTCCCTGGTTTCCATTCCTTCTTGCGTTTCCGCGGCCTTCTGAATTGGGACCGGTCTTCAAGCACGAAGCTCTTGCAAAACCCAAAACGGGTAAACCCTCCCCGCTATGGAACCGCGCTTCGAACAAACTGCTCCTTGAGGCTCACGAAGCTGTCGCTGTTTAGGTCCAAGTGCCTGAACAGCGGCAGGGCCACCTCCTGCGCTTCGATTCCGACCAAAACGGGCTTTGGCAAAGGGGGAGAAAGGATCAAACAAACCCATCAAAGAACCTTGGGACTGATCTACCCGAGATCCTAGAACCCTCAGACCTTGCCGCAGCCGCTCCACACAGAAACAACCCTCGGAAAGGGGACTTTCATCATGCGGTCTGAGGGTCGCAAACCAAGAGCCTTTGTGACCCTGCAACTTGCCCAGCCAATTCCCAGGCCTGAATTAAGAATGCAACGCGGATGCCGACCTTGTTGTGCCCCAGCTAGCCACAAGATAGGCAACTACACGCAAGCCGATCTATGCCCATTCCGCTTGTTTGACGATCCGACGCCAACGTGCAAGTGACAGGGTTCTCCTGCTGTGAAGCAAATTTGACAGGTGAAACCTACGCGTAAGTGTTCTCAGTGAGGCAAGGTAACAACGACCCCGTCGCAGTTGAGTAGCATCTCTCCGCAAGGAATGCCGCTGGAATCAAGAATGGAACTAGTGCAAGGGAATGGCTGCACAAGTGATGCTTCAACCATACTTAGAAAATGTTGCTTTCAGGCAACCTGCAGTCTTCTCCTTGCAAAGTGCAGAACCCTAAATTTTCCTGTCTTTGTGGCAAACAAATCTTTTGCCTGGAATGCGCGCCTTCCTGGAACTCTGGAATGTTTTGTTCTCTGACCAAAACTTGAGGAAACTGACTTTCATATGTTCACTGGTAGCGTGGGCGCATTCTGACAGAACTGCACACCTGCGACAAATTGCTCCACCTTGTTGCCAACACAATCAGGACATTGCAGCCGGTTTGCTGAAATGAGGGAAAGTGGGGCGCCTGGGGGCGTGGCGTAGTCTATGTGTGTGTATATATATATATATATGCATGGCGCCTGTCCGTCCAGGTTTTGTCAGTTTTAACTGTGTTTCCGGCTGCGACAACTGTTTTGTACCCAGGCAATGTGTCATCTACTGTAGGCTCAATGTCTTGATGAGCCAGCATGGCTGACTGCGCAAGAGCGGTTGTCCTTTAACACACCTCCTCAGCCATGTATTTACTGCACATCAGCGTGATTTCTTTGGTACTACTTGGAGCGTCTTCTATCTTTGTTGCGCAGGATGATGAAAGAAGGCCAGACGATCCAGATCAAATCTGTACATCGGTGTCCTCTACCTTTCCATATCTGCTCACCTACTACCTCCGCCTTTTGAGGAAAATGAATTATGATGTCCGCCTCCTCCAACATGTCCAAGGACAATTTCCTTTGCAAATTTGGTTTTACGTCGAACTGAGTTGGATTTTGCACCAAACGCTGAAGGTTCAACCAGAGTTTTATTTAGAAGTTCTTCTGAATACGAAGTTGAACCAACATTCACGTCGACGTTCAATATAGTTCAATGCGGAAAGACTTGAATTTGCCTAGAAAACTGCACTTAAATCGGAAAAAATCAAAAACTTTCCCAGTCCCGAACCCCGAGCCCCGAATCATGAGAATGTGATTCGAGTCCCGAATCCCGAGCCCCGATTCCCGAACATGTGACTCGAGTCGCGAGTCCCGAATCCCGAGCCCCGTGATTCGAGTCGCGAATTCCGAATCCCGAGCCCCGAATCCCGAATCATGAGAATGTGAATCGAGCCAAATCCCGAATCCCGAACATGTGATTCGAGTCGCGAATCCTGAGTCCCGAATCCCGAAAATGTGATTCGAGCCGCGAATCCACGAATCCCGGATCCCAAAATGTGATTTGAGTCCTGAATCCCGAGCCCCGAGCCCCGAATCATGAGAATGTGATTCGAGTCCCGAATTCCAAATCCCGAACATGTGATTCGAGTCGCGAATCCCGAGAATGTGGTTTAATCCCGAAATGTCATTAAATCCCGAATCACGAAACGGACAGCGACCTCCGGATCGCCACTCATAAAGTGGGTTAACAAATCATGGGCTTTTATAAGGACAACAATAGAATTAGAACTTATATGCTACGGAACTTGAATATTATTTCGTTTCCAAGCATGGTTTTAATGAAAGCCCAAACAGGCTCTACGAAGAAAATAGGTCAATCAGAATGTCTATGTGCGGTCCTTTGTGGCAAAAGAAAGGTCCGGAATTTAGAATGTTTAAGCAATCGTTGAATCCAGGCATCAAGGCCTAGATTCATGGGCTGTGGAACAAGGGTACCTTATCCCGGAGCAACAGGCACTTTGTGGTAATGGTCTATGATATGTCCCTGGATCTATCCCACACGATGATCAGTGTCAACGATAGATGGAATGTCTCTGGAAAGTCCCAGAGAAAGTGTTGTTGTTGGTGGAACCAGCAAAGCGGTCCGCAATGGCTTCCTGTTTTTGCTACTGCGCCACACGCGTAGAAGCTCCGATGAATTTTGGGCCCTTTTGTGAGCATTGTCGATCCCGTAGTGGCCAAGCAATATGTGCCGCGCCAGGAGCTCCACTCTTGCTTGTTGCCACGGACGAAACATGCGATTGGTCTTGCGTTCCATGATTTCAGGACAATTCCCTTGCAACCGTGCTGAATGAAAAGCTTCACATTTCTCGTCCTGATCCTCGAAGAAGATCTTTGCTTCACTCAGACAGATGACCTGCGGAATGTCAAAGAAGCATCTTGGTGATGGGTCTGTCCTTCATCGGCATGTCCTTCACTGCTTGATCATTGATCTTTGTATGTTTGGTAATGTTGCCATGGCTCATGGTGAGCACATTGGTCTGCGTGGAGGAGGTGAAGTTGTAGTTCTCAGGATGTTTGCGAATGCCCTGATGACATTGACATCGGAATTGTATCTGAGGGTCTTCAGTTCTAGGGGCACGCGGATTGGATATCCTGACTTCGTCTGAGTCGCCCTGAATTCTTCCATGGTGGGCAAGCAATGTTCCTGCTGGTAATAGAAGTCACTTTTTTCAATGTTGGTCTCGGGATCAACATGCGCCAGGGGAGGCCATCTCGCAGATATTCAGCTCCAGATCTTCTCGAACTTGTCCTTGATCTGTTTCGTAAAGCTGCATGATGGACTTAGCACTTTCCTTGGCTTCCTCGAGCTCTCCTTTTGCTTGATCTTTGGTCAGATGCCAGTAGAGGTTCCTCCTCGAAACTCTGCAATGAAGTTGTTCAGGTTCTCCATGCTTGTTAGCTCCATGGTCACCTTGTGCCGCACTCATCTATCTTGCTTGGATTCCATGTGAGGATGGTCGTCATCATCTTGATCTGTGGAACGACGTCGCTTCTTCGCCTCGGTGGACTTCTCCGGATCAGTCATGCGCGCAGTGACATGTTCATGGAATCGCTGAGCAAATTAGTTTATGGTGGATTCGCATCGCTCAACATCTTCTGGTTTGAGGTGCCTCTTCATGAGCCAAATGTTATTCTGGATGAGGTTACCTTCTGCGTTGTAGGTTGCAAGGATGTTTCGTTGCACGCAGTGCGTTCCGCGGTGATCTTGATGTTGTAGTCGTTCCCCTTGGTAAGTCCCAGGATCACCATGCCGTCTTGTCCAGAGGGTACATGTTGCAATGCCTCATCGGAGGGTGCCTCATCGGAGGGTTCATCATCCAGGATGACATCGTCAACGCACGTCATGTGAACATGCATTTGTTCTCGCGGGGTCATGTTCTTTCCTGGTTGGAATCCATTCTCCATGATCTTGTAGATCTCTTCCTCGTGAGTCGCACGCAGCATGAAAGTCATCGGCGACTTCTTCTCCTTCATGTTCTCCTTGCTCTAGGATGAAGAATGCTGAATGCAAAAGGTCGAGTGGGTGGGTCTTGGATGGATGTCCTGGTTGTGATGAAGACATCGTGGTACTGGGCCTTCAGCATCTCATAGGAGTAGTGGTCGAGTGTAATGTGCTTCAATGACATTGCGCTGATCAATCTTTCTCTCTGCTGATCTGACAACTCACTCTGGGCTATGAAAAATTGTGCTATGAGACTGTCCCGCGAAGCAAAATGCTTCCTTCTGTCTTGCTGCGTAGCAATGTTGGAGGCCGTGCTCGGACACCGGCGGCTTGCTGATGCTGAGCAATTGTTCCGTTGTTTGCTTCTTGTACTGATGTTCGAAGCTCTGGTGACTGTGCCGTGTGTGTTGGCATCATGTTCATCCAGGCCAGTCAGAGCCAGAGTCCGACGCATGTCCAGTCACAAGTTCCGATCCGAGCTCTGCTTTGTCTGAAGCGGAGCGTACTGCTGAAAGGCTTGCAGGAGACCTCGATCTTGATGATTGGAGCGGTCTCGATCTTTTCTCGTCGATGACTGGACAACCTTCACTACCATCGAAGCATCCAAGAGAGGACCTCTCCTGAAAAGCAGGCTCATTGGAGATGCGTACATGCACAAGGAAGTTCTCGACAACACATTGCTTCAAGATCCAGTAGAAGGTGTCCACTACTGCAAGAACACGATGAAGCAGTGCTTTCTCAAGGGCACAACCGACGTGTACCTATACAGGCTTCTCAGCTTTTTCAATCGTCGAAGAAACAATTCAGAGTTCCTGATTTTCACATCCAAGTTCGACATCCTTCTAAAGAGACTCTGAACCAGCTCACCTTTCCGTCGTACGACGGCGGCTGCTTGGCGGTCGTCAACAAATTTAGCGTTTCTCGGTGAAGCCTGTTGACCGGCCTGCGCTTGAGTAGGCCTCCATGAAGCCTCCTGATGACATCTCGCGCGCCTGATCCCAGAGCAACAGGCATGGTAATAGTCTATGATAGGTCCCTGGATCTATTCCACACGATGATCACTGTCAACGATAGGTGGGGTGTATCTAGAAAGTCTCTGATAGTAAGTATTGTTGTTGGTATAGCCTGCAAAGCGGTCCGCAACGGCTTCTTGTTTGAGCCTGCGTCACACGCGTAGACTAATGTACAAGATGGGCCTTGAGCCAGAATGGTTGCATGGAGATCAACATATAAATCAATCACAGAGGGGGGTGGCAGATGAGTACAACCCAGACCATCGAAAGAAGTTGCAACCTGGGCCTAAAACCCTGGTGGCCGGCATGTTTTTCTACTTCTGGAAAGTAAGAAATGACAGAACTACCTGCATGGATCAAGCAAAATGAAAAAGACAACGGAAAATGCAAAATTTGTTCTTGTTGGCACTGATCATTGGCCGCCTTTTCCTTCTAGAACTTAAGGTGTTTGACTTTTCCCAGGTAAAAAGCAAAAACTGTTGAACCCGTGGAAAGTAAAAAGCAAAACTCAAAAACAAAACTTGGTTTAGTTCAGAAAGTTCTACTTTGCGCTTGCTTGCGTTTCCGCGGTACAAGAAAATGTAAACTCTCAAAAGTCAAGACCTTGCCCTTGCCACAGTTTCACATTTTGACTTTCCCCAGAAAAAACTAAAGTAAGGCGTAAAACTTTGGGATCCATGAAGTCGATAAGCGAAAAGTTGCAAAAAAAGACCGTTTTACTGTTGGAGTTTACATTTTTAACTTGTGCTAGGGAAAAGTAAAACTTACAACTTTGTGAAGTAAAAGGAACATTACTTTCTCGAGTTTTACTCTTTACTGTTCATCCAAAAGTGTTACTTTTGACTTTTGTACTGTTTCTGGTGAAGCTAGAGAGAAAAAGCGCCGGAAGAACAAACGGCTTTACTTTTAGGCTTTTACCTTCTTACTTTTACTGGAGGAAAAAAGTAAACAGAAAAGCTTTTGGAGCCATGAAAAGTAAAAAGTACAAATCTCAACAGCATACACAGTTTGATCTTTGGGAGTTTGACTTTTACTTTTTCTTGGGCAAAATGCAAATTTCACCTCCCGACGTCAAACACATTTTGTTTTTGCAAGTTTTACTTTTTACGTTTCATGGGTGAAAAGGTTACCTTTTTGCTTTTTCTGAGAAAAGTAAGCCTTTTTCTGAGGAGTATGAAAACATAAAACTACCTGAAAGTAAGAAAACGGTTTACTTCGGTCAGCTTGTTTTACTTATGGCTTTTTACTTTACTTGGGAAAGGTAGAAAAGGTAAACTTTCAGAAACGAAAAAGGGGCCAATGAAAAGTGCCAGCGCTGGAAACAAGATGCGTTTTCGGTGAATTATGCAGGTAGCTCTGGCCTTGTGGGGTTGTTCCATGCCTGGGTCTTGGTGTGGGCGCTGCATAAACTGAGTCATGGTCATGACCCATTCTCACAGTAACTATGAAACGCGCAAAGGTTAATACGAACAAATGCTAATCAGAAACCAAATTGAACCCGATGTAACTTTTTCCATGTAACGATGTTGAATCTGATGTATTTTCTGAACGTGAATTCCACAATAAAAGCGTTCTCAAGAATTGTGACATCGATACGCTTGAAGAATTCTAGGTTCTACAAGACATTCGAGAACTTGGATGGAGAAATCAGGCCATTTGTAACAGCCTGGCGTTGGTTGACTTCTTCATTCCCCATCCCTTCCTTCACTCACTCCTCCCCTCCGTCATCATCCCTTTAGTGCAGGTACGGTATGAAGGAAAGGATTATTGGAACAGGCAATAATTTCATTTTTTCTGGTATGACGATTGCAGACCCAAGAAACATGTGAGACCATAATGTTGGTATCCGGCTTTAGGAGCTTCAATCAACATGGCCAGGACTACAATTGGATGACATGAGAAAAAGCATCATGACGAAGATGCGCATGAACAGGTAACAAGTAAAGAGATAGTATTCAAACAGCTAACAAGATTGTCTGTCATTGCGTCCTGATATTTTGAAGACTTTGTTCTCCCATCAGAGTATGGTGGAGGCATGCGCGATTTCTTGAAAACTAAACAAAGGAATGATAAGATAGTGAGCAACAAAAATGACTGTCATGCAAACTGTGCCTGGTAAGAATGATGAAGGGTACACCTTCCGACATCTAATGTTGAATCTGAGGGCCGCTTCCTTCGCGCCCCTTCCCGCTTCCATCATCTCACGGATAGACCATGAATGAGGAAGGAAGATGGCCCGCTACCTTTCCCATTCGCCCGTCTCAATGAAGCCGCTTTGAACAAAAATGGGATAGCGATTATTCAGATACTCAGGTATCTAACTATTGGGAAATAAAACACTATCTCAGGGGCGCCAGTCCTTTACGAAGCCGGGCTCGCTGAACCTGTGAGCGCGCCAGGCCAACCACAAGAAGCACCTCGGTGCTCCCAGAACTCAGTTGATGGAAGCCCATTGACCCGTGCGTCGCTTTCCCGTGTTAACTTGCCATGAGTCTTGAAGAGCAAATATGACTAAGTAACATAATTCAGCTTGCAAGCGCTTGAAGCACTTCCAAATTTCCGAATGAAAAGTTGCCCGGTCCTGTTCACCTGTCTAAAGCGACTGGGCGATGTCGAGAGCGATGTCCGGGGTCTTAATTTGCGGGACAGGCGCAGCACTTTGGCGATGGCACACGGAAAGAATGGCAGGCGCAGTATTTTCCGCATCTGGGTGTGTGTGTGTGACAGGGCAACGTGTGGCAGCTGTCTAAAGCGCGCGGGCCGGGGTCTCAAAGCGCGTGACAAGCGCAGCACTGTGGAGATCGTGCAAAGATTTCGTGGCAGGCGCAATCTTTGCTGCATCTGGGCGGGTGTTTGCGTGGCGGGGGCAGCGTTTGGCAGCTGTCTAAAGGGGCTGGATGTTGTCGATCGCGTGGCCCGGAGGCTCAATTTGCGCGACAGGCGCAGCACTTTGGAGATGGCACACAGATTTCGTGGTAGGCGCAGTATTCTCCGCATCTGGGTGTGTGTTTGCGTGGCAGGGGCAACATTTGGCGACTGCTTAAAAGACCTGGACTTGCACCAGCTCCAAGCCCAGGCGCCACTGTGCGACCCAGCATCGGAAGGTAGTGGCGTCGCAAACAGCCCTGTAATGTCACTGAGTTTGCAGGCGGGTGAAGGCCGAAGCGACCGAGCCGTAGGTGCATTTGCTTGTCATCGCTGCCGTCAGCCCACTGCGGGACGGCTGCAGAGACCCAACACGAATCACTCGTGAGAAAAGAGAGGAGACATGCGTCACACCGAGAAAAGATAACGCACCACGCAGACTCGTTTGCACTCACTTCTTCCATTCACTCGCACTCACCGCATTTCGCGGGGTATTGAGTCGCGCTCGCCGCATCCGGCGGGATACCGCGTGTGCTCCCGGTTCACGCAGACCTGTGTTTTCTACGGCTAGGACATGTGGGGTTGTCCGGCCCTTTAACTTATATGTTTTCTAGAGGTTTACTGCGTGTGTATATGTATGCCCCCTTGGGGCCGGAAAATACGTGGACTGGAGTTCTGGATTTCTGGATCTTGGTTTTCTGGATCTTTCGATTGCAGGATCTCTGGATTTCTGGATCTCTGGATGCCTGGGTATCTGCATCTCTGAATCTCTCGATCTCTGGACCTCTGGGTATCTGGATCTCCGGGTTTCTAGATCTCGGTCTTGATCTCTGGATTTCTGGATTTGCCCCCTGTATTTGTTCTTGCAGGTGTTGAACCCCACACAATCTCACTCCGCAATATTGGCTCAAATGACCCTTCTTTCTCACCTAGTCTATGCGTACGTTGTGTTGGAGATAAAACCTCTTGCGGCGCGCTCACAGGTAAACCGTATTTACAGATCAATTTACCAAAGACATCCATTGGTCAATGCATCCATTCGGTGTACATCACTAGGATCCTACTGAAATGGTTTGGGACTCAATGTGGTCGCAGAGCAGGCCCAACAGCAGATCCAAATCAAGATGTCGTCGTAGGACGAAAAGTCAGCTGGTTCCGGTCTGAGGAACTTGCGGATGATTGGGCAACATTCTCCACGATCGAAGCTTCCGCTTCTTCGGCACAGTCACCAAGCGTTTCTTGCAACCGTCCAAGATGCAAACACAAGAAGAACTGTCCAGCCCCAGCAAGCTGCCGCACCTCTGCTTGCTGCAGGCGATCCAGAAATACAGAGACAATACATGGATGGCGCGCAGACAAGACACAGGGACATATTTTTCAATGACAATCTGAGCGCGCAACGCAATGCTTTATCATCGAGAGGAACTATCAGATCAGCAGAGAGAAAAACTGCTCAGCGCAATGTCTCTGAGGAACATCCCACTCGGCGATCTTGCTGGAGTGGCAAAAATGAAACTCCACAAGGGCCGCAACAACTCTATGACAACGACCACGGCACCAAGTTCCAAATTCAGAAAACGAGATTGTTGCGCATCCAAGTCATCCGAGACGAAAGAGAACACAGCAACTCCGAAGATAATCGGATCTCAGAAGCAGGATCGTTGGGTACTTGACAAGAAGAACAAGCAGCCCAATCGTGTTCACATCACTCGACAAGCTTTGTTCTTGCCACCAGGAGCTAAGGAAAGCCCAATTGATCCTGACAACATCAGATTCAGATGATTGAGGCATCTGGAGACGGAGAACCAGACATCCTTGAAGACAATTAGAGACTCACCCCTAGGCAAACAAACGAATTGTGAAATTGTGGAAAGGTAGGACCATCTTCACATTCTCCGACAATCCACTGAAGGACGAAGAAGCAGGTTCAGGACTTGCTGCAGACAGGATCATCGACAAGACGGGCCGGTCAATCATTGAGCCAGATCTTTTGCGCTGTTAGGAGATGAACTCCACTTGCCCTCGGCAGAGTCCATCAGCGATTGCCCAAGCCAGAGGAGTTGAAGAAGCTCCACCTCCAGCATCATCACCTGAATACCGCCCAGCTTCGATTTAGAACTTGCACGCTTCACTTGCCAAAGACGCCATACGATGATTTTGACGAGATCCGAAGTGTGTGCAGTGTGCCAAGCAGCAAAACAAGCGCCATCCAGAAGAAAAACAAGTGGACTTTGAGCGGGCGCATTTAGAGTTTAGAGACATGACATTCACTGACCGCCATTGCTCACTGCACAGGCAGCGCACACTACGCAGGAAGTGGAAGCCGAGAACATCACAGGAACTATTTTGACCAGTGCCACTTGCAGCCCAAACCAGTTGTCGCAGATCAAGCTAAACCAGTCCTGCTGGGACCAAATGCACCGTGGCCAAATCGAGCTGAAGAAGCAGTAGTAGGCGCAGCTCAATCATGCTCAACTCCATCAAGGCAGGAACAGCACATGCCTCACTCAAGAAAGTCACATACAGACAACCTGTCAAGGCCGCTGCAACAGTCAGGAACCAAACCGTTGTCACCTACGGGGGTGTAACACCATTGGAACTCGAATTCGGAAGACGACCAGCGGATCTCATCCAGCTCGGTGTCGCAGCACCTACGCAATTGACGATTGACAGGAACGAGAACAGCAATCCAGATCAAGCAGCTGTCTAAGCAGGCATTCCAAGAAGCTTGTCAATCCGAAGACATCCGCAGAGACTTGCTCAGAATCTCCGCATGAGCTCCAAACCTCTTCAGGCGAGAGACAAGGTGTTCTACTGGCAGGAAAACAAATCCAAAATTCGTTCCGATTAGAAGCAAGGGGAGGCAAATGGTCAAAAGGGAAAGTCGTTTCCATCAAAGAAACAATGGTTGGGCTCAACTTGGAACTCAACTCATCAAGGTAAGCGGTAAACTTGATGAAGGTCAGTGGGGAACCAGGAACTGATCTTCTGTTTCCACATGAGAAGGAGACCTTTTTTTCAAGCAAAAAGAGGCTCCTCATCCGACTCCACAGGGAAAGAGTCATCCATGCCGGCTCCTAAGCCATCAGCCTCATGGCATTTGCCGGAGCACCAGGACCGGTAGAGAACATGCCTGTGGAAGATCTCACATCCATTCCTGAGCAAGCGCATTGGAATTGCGCGCGCGAAGGAAGAAAGCGTGGAAGGCAATGGATCAAACCTGTCGGCTTTTGGCGTCGGAGCCCGGATTCAGGATGTTTCTGCTCGTGTGCACAGATATGGAAATCTCCCCGCCCAGGCAACGGACGGATCTGAGAACAACGGCTTCATGCAATGGAGGTAGCAGATCCTGGATGTCTGAGTGTTTCCGATGATGAAGTAGATCCTGTGCTTCAACTGATATAGTGCGATCGGCTCAACTATTGCGAGGTGGCGCTTCCGCTTCTCCCAGCCCTTCTGCTGGTCTTGTTGGATGTTCTACACGTTTGACCATGGAGCGCACACCGGTGCCATAAGGATGACATCAAGCGCTTGTTCCTTGAGGATCTCCATGACCATATGTCGTCCCTTGGATGCCATGACGTCGACTCCGTTGCGGATGTCAACGCAAGTTCCAACCTTACATGTAACTGCGCAGCATTGGCTGAATCTTGCACTTCCTGCAAAAATATCGAGAACATACCCCCTGAGTACAGAGACCAATTTACAGGAAATGCAAGAATTTCACCAGCTCGGTGAAGCATGAGCGTCAACCACTTGAAGGTAATGCGGGTACATTCGGGATCAGAACCAAACTGGCACAGGTCTGCCCTTAAGTTCTGCCAGGATCTCGCGCGCATCATCCTGCGACACGTCAAGGTGAAGCCGCTCGACAAGGAGGCGCGCCTTCCCGAGAACATTTGACTCAAGACCTCCCATTCAACAAGACTGTTCAGCCATTGATCATCCAAGATCCGCCGGTCCAAAAGCTACAGAGGACAATGAAGCAGAACCCGCTTCTCCGACAAGACCCAAATGACTGGCGTTAACACGTGGAACAGTTGCAAGAAGCTGCGAACTTTGTGCGCGTCCTCCACTCAGTATGACCAATACGCAGCACACACGGACAAGATCGTCAATCCTGGGTGGACTACTCCGCAACCTCATCGGGTAGCAGCTACCAGGACAAGAAGCGGCGACGCTCGTTAGCCCCCTCAGGCAAGCACAAAATCCAATTCCGACACACCCGAAAATGGCACCTTGATATGCCCGACCGATCGATATCCTCACTGAGTCCTTTCCATTGACATCATCGACGGCAAAACTACTTGTATTGCGAAATCAGCTTCACCGTCTATAAGAATATTTCTCATGTAGGAAATAATCAAAATTTCACCGGAAATCCTGTCCTCTGATTTCAGCAAGCATCAGTCAAAAGGGATGCAACCTTTTAGACAAGATTAGGTGTCTCTTTTGCTTACCAACCATGTGTGCAAATCGATTTCAACTTGCATTGCACTTGTGTATGCTTCTCCATTTGCCGGACGAACAACATCAGATCACATCAACCAATGATCCCAATGATTTGAATACACGCCAGTATATATGTTTACACATGCATACCCAGTTGGTGTGGAATATCAAAAGAAACTTGTGTCTGTTTCTAGTTGTCTTCTCTTTTTGTCTCGCATTAGACCATTGATCTTCCCAAAACCATTTTGGCTCAAGGCCTTTCTTAGTTGTACCGTGCATAGACATTGCGCTATTGAGGACAAAAGGAACCTTGCGGTACGCTCTTACAGTATTCCTACAACCTCACCAGGGACATCCAATGATGATGACGATTATGATGATGCTGATGATGATGATGACGATGATGATGATGATGATGATGATGATGATGATGAACATGATGATGGACATTATAATGAACATGACGACGGACAATATGATGCGAATAAAAATGAAGCTAATGAAAATGATGATGGAAACAGTTTCGAACCGCCAAAACCGCTGGATGAGTCGGCAAAATGCGATTCAACACACTGAACCAAGGTGACAGGCCTCATTTTGGCGGTCGGAATGGGGACCGATCAGGCTTCAAGAAAAACATGTTGTGCCACACGGGGAACTTGTTTGGCCAGTTCAAGGAGGCACGCAATGAGAAGCTGGAGTCATTGAAGTTTTTGCCCACACTCAAAACGTGTGGCCATTCGAACGGCTCAAATTAGGAATCAACATGCTAGGATCGTGCTTTTGGTAGTGTTTTTGCAGACACGTTTGGCATACCTCGAGGCCAAGCCATACCCCTCTTCCAGTTTGCCGCTTATTTAAGCAATGCCCTAAACGAATGGGTATTTGGTAACAATTGGGGGAACTGTTTACAAGGTAGTCAGTCAAAGAACCGCGTTGCGACGTGCTGGCAGGGTCCGAAGCATTCCCAAGCTCCAGTTCGCTCGGCGAGCGATTTGCTTGCTTGGTCCCGGGCTGCTCGTCCACCGTGTCAGCCTCGCTCTTCCAAAGCCTGCGCTGCACGTTGGGTGAAGCCCCCGATGTACCCCAAAAGCCCCAACAGCCCCAAGTCCTGATGGATTTTGGACACCAAAAACCCGAGATGCGTGCGGAACATTTTCAGAAGCCCCAAGAGAAGGATCGGTCATGCCGCAGTGACTTGCCAAGAGCACAGGCTGTCTGGTCCATCATGGTTCCCTTCTTAGGAATCCGTGTCACTTTGGCGCCACCCTACTGATGGGTTCAAATGCCTTTTAAGGGGTTCTTGACCATCCAGACCAACCCGAGCAACAAGGGTCTCTGGACCAAGGAGATGTATGTGTGCTTGTGCGGTGTGCTGTCTGAGCAGCCAACATGCGCGATGAACTATGAGGAGCCAAGCAAACCTCCTAGTCCTGCTGCTCTTGGCACGCTGCCTTCTCGGCAAACTCTTTGAAGTGGTCCTATCTTGTCGGAAGTTCCTGATCTTCCTCCTCTTTATTGTCCACCTGCGACCCGCATATTTCCCACCGCCTGCGCAATTCATGGCCTTGTCACCCAACCACTCAGGAAATGAGCGATCTGTGCTTCCAGAACCTTCCACTTGTTGCGCTTCCTGACTGTCTTCTCCAATGCTAGGTCGCAGGAGCTTTGCTGCGGCGCCTACGCAGAACGGTCAGGAATCGTAGATGTTCAAAAGTTTCTTCGAAACGTGCAACCCTTGCTGCAGTTTTGCAAATCAAGAAACTCAAAGTGGGGACTGCTTTCTCACACGCAGCATAACAATTTCAGAGCAAAAACTGGTCTTGAGGGCCTCAACTACCGCAAGCTAGCCCACGCAGCCTGAAATGTCCCCGAGCACAGCTAGAGTGCCCAGTGCTCTTGCTGAAACTCTCTTGGCGCGGCAGAAAACAGTGCCCTCACCCGAGCTTCCCGACTTTGACATTTTTGTTGTGCAAAACCACACCAAGGATTGCACTGTTCGAAGGAACGGAAGGACACCTACAATTCCTGCACGTGAAGAGCCGATAAAACCAGCCAAACCATCCTTTGGCCGCTGCTCCATGCCACTCTGTGCCACTCTACGCCACTCCATGCCCACTGAATTCCACTCCATGCCACAACATGCGAGCATAGAGTGACATAAAGTGGCAAGTTCCAATTCCAATAACACGCAAGTAACAATGCGTTCTCACCCAAACTAAGGCTATCAGGTTTGGGCCCCAGTCTCCTTTCGTGTTCTTCTACAATTTTCCATATTGAATCAATAGGCCCAGGACAAAGTTGATCCTATGGTCAATCAAACAATTCCATCGCGCTCGCTTCAAGGGGGGGAAACAGAAAACGCGACATGCACAAACCCAAGCTCCTCCATAGTCTCTGCCACTCTTCGCCAGCGCCGAGTGGAAGGTCTGGCATGCTCGGGGCTTGGCCCCATATTCCCAAAGTCTCCCAAGCAGCTCGGCAAACAGTTCGAAATAGCCGGTTTCTGACTTGGATACCTGGGAACTGTGAAGATGACCGGCTCCTGCATGAGACCAATGCGGGCACCACTTGAGGTGAATATCAGGACGAAACAAATACGGTGTCTCACACGTCGCTCCTTGAAGTCTTGTCGAAAGCATGGCATCAGGCTACATCGGGGAGCGCCCACTGACTCTTTCACAAACTTTACATTGACATTGAACAGGACCTGGACGAATGGGGTTTAAGAGGGTAAGAGCTCAAAGTACCCCAGGTACTTGGACCTTTGGACCTTGGGATGCTCGAGGCTCGCCTGGATGAGCTGGAAGCAAAATTGAAGATATGGAATCGCGAGCTAGGCAAACAGATACAAATACCGTAGGCCGTGCCGGAAATGTGGCCGCTCGTGTGCTTGGCAGTACAAACACAGTTTGCTGAAGACCAAATGCGTTCCAGTTGACCCGCCACCTGCACCGCCGGTTTGGGTGCAGCACATGAATCAACCTTTGGATCCTTCTAATCAATCGTCAAGCAGTACAGCAAATCGGCTCCGGTTTAAAACCTCGGTGCTACCTGGCTAAGAGTTATCCTGAGAATGACCTCGCAGGAACTTACTTCTTTGTTGTTCTGGTCACTGGATGGCAGTTCATGACAGAGATTGGCCGGGGAGATTGCCCCTAAATGGGGGGGTTCCCATGTCAAATGCTCCTTGCGAATTATGGCAACTGCCCCGCCAATCCGGTTCTCGTGGTGTGGTTTATGTGAGTGTGAATGGGAACCCGTAAAGACCCAAGTAGAGGAGACATGTCTGAACGGAACAACAGCTGTATATCCGCTCACGTTCAAAAGAGAGGCTGCTCGTTAAGGATGGCAGGTCATCTCCAGACCCCCAAACCTGTCCAATCCCGAAGAGGGTTCTAAAAGCTTCTGTGTCCCCATTTACCCCTTGTTTCTTTTTTATTTAGGGTTTACCCTGATGGGGGTGTGGTCCCAGGGTCACGTGACAAAGATTTCGACCTGCCTACAGCAACTCGCATGAAATCTCTATGGAGGACCAGCATATCTGGGGATACAGAAGTAGATGGTATTTGTTGGTGATCTAGTGCTCTTGCCATGAGAACCCTGAGAAAAATCTATTGCTCACGGGCAAGCCTTTGTGCACCAGGTTAGACACAACACGCAAGTTTAGAAAGGGACGGCATAATAACACAACACACAACACGCATGTAAGAGCAAAATGCCTTCTCGAGACACACTTTCAGCAAGTTACCCAATGCTTCCCTGGCTTTCGCAAGGCATAATCCAAACGGCTTTTCCCGCGTGCCGCCCAAAAGGACACGGCTCAAGATGTGCAAAGTTCCCCAATCCTGAGGGTCCCTCAGGGAAGGGACACGTCCGAAGGCTTGCTGAAGGCTTGAGCCCCGTGAAAGGAAACGGGGCATCTTTGGACAATTCACATAGGCCGTCGGCATCCCCTTTCCTTGCTCTGAACAAACTTTATTTTCCCAACATTCCGATTCTGCCATTTGGCCGGGGGGTGGGCCATTTGGTACCAACCCGAGGGACGCGAGGGAATCGAGGGACCCGAGGGACGCGAGGGCGGCCTTCGCTGCCGCTCACGAAAGAGGACAAGTCCAAGCCTTCGAGTACCTTGCGGAGTTTCGGGGTTCCGGAGTACTTGCGAGCTGAGGAGAGCCATTTCAGCTTCGTTAAGGAAAGCACCTGTGATACCACTGGAAAGAACTCCATACGAACTCTTCATTTAAAGCCAGCGGTCAGGTATCGCGAAAGCGCTTGAATAATATCTTACTCCCGCAACCCTGACTTCCGGGCGTCCCACTAATACTTGAACAGCCGCACCCACATTCCCAAGATATCAAAGACACTCAAACAGCATGACCGAAGCTCAGAGACAATAACATGGGCTGAACCTATACATTGAGGGTACTCACCCACTTGGTGGAAATCTGTCGGGTTTTGGCTTAGTGTTGGATTGCTTTGCCTCCAAACAACAATTGACATAGTCACATAGGTTTCACATATTCAATAAGCCCAGTCAGCATTTGGCCTTAGCTCATCAAACACACCTAACCATGAAATCTGCGGCGATCGGATACATTAACCCCCGACAAAGCAGCGTGGCAGGGTAGACCTGGGCCGTCTTAGCTCTTGCCAACGGCCTTTGCGTGTGCACAAGCCTTTCGAAAGACTAACCCTCTGGTGCAACTTGCTGTCCTGTGGGAAACGGCTAGTTGAGGGAGAGGCGTTGACGGAAAGCGGGAAAGTGGGAAGGCACAAAAGTTTCATCCAAATTTCCCGGAAACTTAACCCATTTTTTGCAAAGCCGCCAAATTCTAAAGAAATTTACGGAGGTAATCGGTGGAAATCTAAAAGCCGGGTAGCCGAAAGCGAAAATTGGCCAGGTTAGGCTACGAAAATTCTAGACGAAGATCTAAAGAACCCCCGAACTCTCAACAACATTTCGGGGGCTTCCGGGCTACATTCAAAACAAGAATTTGTGCCACGGAAAAAAAGAGACCGAAACGGACATCACCACACCACAAACACAACAATACCGCTATATATGCGAAATACGACCCCCTGAGGCCACACCGATTTATAGGAAAATAACAAGTAATTTTTAAAACCGCTTAAGTATCCGCACCCCTTCGCCTAAAGGGAGGCCCGCGGGAAGGGCGATGGCGATCGGCACTGTCCCCGCCAGAGATGCTGTCGCTGCTGGAAATGCTGGGGGTGGTTACCCCCATCGCTGCTAGAGATGCTCAGGCTGCGTAGTGATGCTTATAATCCATGCTCAGGATCCTCGTCATGACTCGTTTTCTCAAGTCCTTTCTATATCTTTTCTATATACATTTCAAGTGTCCCGGCTTGGCATGCAAGCGATGCGTAGTCATGCTTATCATCATCGCTGCTGGAGTGCTAGGGGTGCTAGAGATGCGTAGTGATGCTTATCATCCAACCTCGTGATCGTCGTCATGATTCGTCTTCGCAAGTCTTTCTATCTGTTCTATATACATTTCAAGTGTCCCGTTAGACCCGGCTTGACATGCAAGCGGTGAGTAGTGATGGATATCATCATCGCTGCTAGGGATGCTAGAGATGCGTAGTGATGCTTATCATCCACCCTCATGATTGTCGTCATGATTCCGGCTTGACATGCAAGCGATGCGTAGTGATGGATATCATCATCGCTGCTAGGGATGCTAGAGATGCGTAGTGATGCTTATCATCCACCCTCATGATCCTCGTCATGATTCGTCTTCTCAAGTCTTTCTATCTTTTCTATATACATTTCACGTGATGCTTATCATCCACATTCATCTTTTCTAGATCGTTTCTATATACATTTCAAGTGTCGCGTTAAACCCGGCTTGGCATGCAAGCGATGCATAGTCATGCTTACCATCATCGCTGCTGGAGATGCCGGGGTGATGGATATCATCATCGCTGCTAGGGATGCTACAAAAACGTACCGATGCCTATCATTCACCCTCATGATCGTCGTCATGATTCGTCTTCTCAAGTCTTTCTATCTGTTCTATTTAAATTTCAAGTGTGCCGATAGACCCGGCTTGACATGCAAGCGATGCGTAGTGATGGTTATCATCATCGCTGTAGGGATGCTAGAGATGCGTAGTGATGCTTCTCATCCACCCTCATGATCGTCGTCATGATTCGCCTTCTTAAGTCTATCTATCTTTTCTACATACATTTCAAGTCTCCCGATAGACCCGGCTTGAAATGCAAGCGATGCGTAGTGATGGTTATCATCGTCGCTGCTAGGAATGCTAGAGATGCGTAGTGATGCTTATCATCCACATTCATCTCTATATCGTTTCTATATACATTTCAAGTGTCGCGTTAGACCCGGCTTGGCATGCAAGCGATGCGTAGTCATGCTTATCCTCATCGCTGCTGGAGTCCTAGGGATGCTAGAGATGCGTAGTGATGCATATCATCCACCCTCGTGATCGTCGTCATGGTTCGTCTTGTCAAGTCTTTCTATCTTGTCTATATACATTTCAAGTGTCCCGTTAAACCCGGCTTGACATGCAAGCGATGCGTAGTGATGGTTATCATCATCGCTGCTAGGGATGCCAGAGATGCGTAGTGATGCTTATCATCCACCCTCATGATCCTCGTCATGATTCGTCTTCTCAAGTCTTTTCATCTTTTCTATTTACATTTCAAGTGTCCCGGTAGACCCGGCTTGACATGCAAGCGATGCGTAGTGAAGGTTAGCATGCTAGGGGTGCTAGAGATGCGCAGTGATGCTTATCATCCACCCTCATGAGCGTCGTCATGATTCGTCTTCTCAAGTCTTTCTATCTTTTCTATATACATTTCAAGTGTCCCGATAGACCCGGCTTGACACGCAAAGCAATGCGTAGTGACGGTTATCATCATCGCTGCTAGGAATGCTAGAGATGCATAGTGATGTTTTTCATCCACATTCTTTTTTTCTATATCATTTCTATAAACATTTCAAGTGTCGCGTTAGACCCGGCTTGGCACGCAAGCGATGCGTAGTCATACTTATCATCATTGCTGCTGGAGATGCCCGGGTGACCCTGCTAGGGATGCTAGAGATGCGTAGCGTTATCATCCACCCTCAAGATCGTCGTCATGATTCGTCTTCTCAAGTCTTTCTATCTTTTCTATATACATTTCAAGTGTCCCGTTAGACCCTGCTTGAGATGCAAGCGATGCGTAATGATGGTTATCATCATCGCTGCTAGGGATTCTAGAGATGCGTAGTGATGCTTATCATCCACCCTCATGATCGTCGTCATGCTTCGTGTTCTCAAGTCTATCTTTTCCATGTACATTTCAATTGTCCCGATAGACCCGGCTTGACACGCAAGCAATGCGTAGTGATGGTTATCATCATCGCTGCTAGGGATGCTGGAGATGCGTAGCGATGCTTATCATCCACCCTCATGATCGTCGTCATGATTCGTCTTCTCAAGTCTTTTCTAACTTTTCTTTGTACATTTCAAGTGTCCCGGTAAGTGATGGTTATCATCATCGCTGCTAGGGATGCTAGATGCGTATCATCCACCCTCATAATCGTCGTCATGATTCGTCGTCACGTCTTTTCTATATACTTTTCAGATCACCGTCCTGTCCTGCAGCATTCATGGAGAGGAGATTTCGACTGTGAGGAGAACTATGATCAAGCGTCCTCCAGCATTCACAGGGAGGACAGTTCGAATGCAAGGATAACTGTCATGAAGCGTCCTCCAGCATTCATGGGGAGGACATTTCGAGTCATGACGACTATCATCGTTCTACCAAGACTGTCGAATATGAAATGATTATTACCGTGATGATAAAGATAGTAAGCATGAAGACCCAATAAAGAAAGGGATGATGAGGACCGTCATGATGATGACTATGACGAACCATGGTGATTTGCTAGCACGCGCGCGAAGCGGAAGGAAACCGGGCGCCCCGCAACTCTGTTGCGAAGCCTCCTTAGATGGCAGGCCGCACAGTTGACGGTATATGTGTTCCGACAACGATGATAGCGAAGATAGGTGACGATGATGACGATGATACTGAGAATGATGATCACCGTCCTGCAGCATTCATGGAGAAGAGACTTCGACTGTAAGGATAACTATCATCAAGCGTCCTCCAGCATTCACAGGGAGGACATTTCGATTGCAAGGATAACTGTCATGAAGCGTCCTCCAGCATTCATGGGGAGGACATTTCGAGTCATGACGACTATCATCGTTCTACCAAGACTGTCGAATAAGAAATGATTATTACCGTGATGATAATGATGATAAGCATGAAGACCAAAGAAAGAAAGAAAGAAAGAAAGGGGTGATGAGGACCGTCATGATGATGACTGTGATGGATGAACCATGATGATCCGCCGACATTGTTCGGCGTGTCGGATACTTGCTAGAGGATAGAGGATAACCCCCCCCCCTTACCCCCACACCCCGCCCGACGTCAAATACGTAGGGTTTTTTTTTGGGGGGGTCCCCCACATACCGCGCGGCAATTTGATGACGTACTAGTTAGGAAGAGAAACTTGGACTTGTAAAAAAGTCCGGGTTGGGGGGGGCGCGGCGGGGGGGGGGGTGAGGCCCACTGCCCCAGGTGCCCGGAGGGAACTGGAACCCTGTGGTAGTTGATGTCGTTGTTGGTCCCTGGATCTATTAGGGAGAGACGGTGTCGCAAAACAGGGGTCCCAGGCTCGGTTCCCCCTGCCGGCTCTTTTGCTGGCTTGGGCTTCTTGCCTCCTTTTGCCAAAAATCTGGAAAAACTCTGTGTTTTTGGACGTCCTCTTTGCGAAGACGCTGGAAAAACTGTGTCTTTTTGCGGGAAATACTGGGGAGCAAAGGGGAAACGCAAGGAAGTGCAAGGAAATGAGAGGAGGAAATAGGAAGTTGACATAACAAGAAAGCAACGGGAAATGAAAGGGAAACAAAGAAGGGACATGAAGGGACAGAAATGAAAACAAGGGGAGTGCAGGATACATACATACATACATACATACATACATACATACATACATACATACATACATACATACATTACACACATACATACATACATACATACAAACATACATACTTACATACACACATACTGAAAGGGACATGAAAGGGACAGAAATGAAAACAAGGGGAGTGCAGGGGGAATGAAAGGGAAACAAAGCACAAGGAACCCAATCATATATACATACATTACATACATACATACATACATGACATACATTACATTACATTACGTTACTTTACATTGCATTGCATTACATTACATTACATTACATTCCATTACATTACATACTTACATACATGCATACATTACATTTCATTACATTATATTACATTACATTACATTACATTACATTACATACATGCATACATACATACACTACATACATTACATTACATTACATTACATTACATTACATTACATTACATTACATTACATGACATTACATACATTACATACATTACATACATACATACATACATACATACATACATACATACATACATACATGCATTACATTACATACATACATACATTACATTACATTACATTACATTACATTACATTACATTACATTACATACATACATTACATACATACGTACATAACATACATACATACATACATACATACATACATACGTACATACATACATACATTCATACATACATCCATACATGCATGCATAACATACATCACATACATATATTATATACATACATACATACATACATACAGACAGACAGACAGACAGGCAGGCAGACAGACAACAGAAATACATACATACATTCATGGACAATGAAGCGGACATACCGAGAAATGACAGGGACATGAAGGGGGAGTTAAAAGGAATGGAAGGGACATGACCAGGACATGATGGAAAACGTGAAAAGGACATGGGACGTGACGCTGCAATGCAGAGAGAGAGAGAGGGAGAGAAACACCGTTGCACATACCGCCAAAAACTGCTGTGCTGAGCGTTGGGCTGTTGTTCTGTCCCGTTTTGCTTTTGCTGTGGCTAGCTCGCGCGCTGCGCGGTCCTTGCTTTTTTCGCGCTGGTTTTCGTGCCTTCTGGCGCGCGCGCACGACCCCGGCCACAAAACGCTGCTATTTACGGTGTTTTGTTGCATTTGCGTTTCCGGGCTGGCTTGCGGGCTGTTCTTTTTGGGCTGCTGTTTCTGGGGCCTCTGGCGCGCGCGCGCGACCCCATGTCAGCCTTCTGGGTTGGGGCCCGGCTGCGGCCCAGAAAGCTGGCATCCCCGGCATCATCTGGGGTTGGGGTGGGCAACATGCGTAACCTAACCAGCCATAACAAAACCATGACATGACATGGTGTAACTTCAACGAGGCGTAGCCGGCTAGAGGCCGCAGGCAGAAAATATTCCTAGAAACAATTATATTCCATATATTTTTAATAAATACAAATACCGTCCTGGGCGCGCCATGCTTAGCTTCCGTTTGCTTCGGAACCTGTCAACCAAAGGCGGACCTAAAAGGGTTGCTCTTCTTTTACTCCTCATCAACTTCTTTAAGTCGAGCGAACTTCCGTGGGAAGAATCACAAAGTGAGCTGCGCAAGCTCCTTGAATGTGCGAGTGAGAGAAGCGATGGACACTCCCGCACTCCGCAGCCTCACATGTGCGTAAGAGGGGAGGATCGGTGGGTTCTAGGACCGAGAACAGCCTTGTAGAACTTGTCCTTGTCTCAAAGGTCCCCGAAGATTTGGGAACCGGGTGAGAGAGTGTTAATCTCACGACCTTAGAGAAGACCATAAACAAGTTAAGCCGAATGCCAAGATTCAACAAACATGACCCTGCCAAGCGCCATAGTTTCACTTCGGCAAAAAAGCCGTGACTTTGGCAAGGGGTGCTGACAATGCTCCGATGCTCCGATGCGAATTTGAATTGTTCCGCGAACGAATTCCAATTCCCCAGCTTCCGCAGCTTCCTTCCATCCCGCGCGCCTTGGCGGTGCCATCAAAGCCCAGCTGTCCCTCGCGACACAAAAGTGTCACACTCCCTGGGTGCATTTATGGGCACAATCAGCAATACACATCTTGGAACTCTTTGAAGATGGAATTGGATGAAAACTTGAAGCTGCAGCAAAACCCTGTGAACATGGCAAGGAAGACATATGGTGGTGTCTGAAGATCCTACGGATACGTCTCTGCAGATTCCGTTGATCGACGCTACCAACTTGCTTGTTTGCAAGGACCAGTACGTATCCAACAAGCAGTCCAGCGACATCTGCAGAACCTATCCAGGTGGCAATATATTGCAACGACAAGGAAGCTTGACATGCTGACCCTGTTACTTCAAAGGCACGGTGGAACGCGGTTTACATAAGTCTCCTCTGAATACTTCTGGAAGGACAGCACGGTTTCTGTCCAAAGCAACCACAAAAGGCCCCTTTGTATATTTGAGGGTCCGTTGTTACCTCCTGAAGGACTACGAGACGGCCACAAACACTGGCAGAAACATTTCCCTGATCCCATACAGCTCAAGCGCATCAGCGCATCTGGAACGGCAGCCTATTTGAAGCCAAGGTCACACCTTGAATCCTGACTGAACCAAAGTGGTGAAGCAAAGCTCCAGGAGTCTCAGGGAGAGTGGCCCCAAAATAATGCCCTTTAGGTTCTTGTTGCTTACCAGCTCCGACGGTGCAACAAGAAGGGGTCCAATCATCACCCTGTCAAAACACGGGAGCTGACAACAGCATGTCCGATGTATTTTGCTGGTGGCACATACAAAGATTCTGCAAGGGTCTCTTGGTACCTTGCAATCCTCAGAGAACACCAAGAAACCTCTGGGTTCAAGAGCAAGCTGCCCCGTTGAACGCGTTCACGCCCTTGCCTTGTCATGAGTACCGCACGGGAATTCAATCGCGACCACTGCTTAATGCCCAACATGCGCTTGCAGCACGGGCCAATGTTGCTGGAGGTACTCCGCGTGTGTGCATCTGAGGTCGTGCACCTCGATCTTGATTGCCCTCCCATCATGAAAACTGAACCCGAGCTTTGCAAACAAACCAACATGTCTGATGAATCTCTGCCGCTGACATGCCCGCATTCGATCATTCGACCCTCTTGGCTGCCGTCCCACCTTCTGCACAAATTATGCTTATCAGGGGAGCATTCCCTGGTTCGTTCCCTTCAATGGGGAGAAAAGGGCAAGCGCGGCAAGCGGCAAGTGCGGCATTCGCAAGAGCCTGAAGCGCATGCGGCGCCCTTCCTAGCCGAATTCGGAATTCGCACCTCCACAGCGGCGGCGCGGAAGGCGTCCACCGCGCCTCTGGCGAAGGCCGCTGGCAGTGCCTGCAAGCAAAGGAAACGCCCAAACTCCAAAGCACCGACTTAGAAGGTGCCAATAAGCACGGGTAAGGGTGTGGCTTCAAGTTCTTTGTTTGCTTTTGGTACCTTGTTTGGAGTTGCTCGCAAAGTTACCCCCAAGTAGTCCCTCGGCTTTTGGCCCACACTCAGGTGACACCGTTTAGGCACCTTCCAAGAAGTTGCTGTTGTTCTTTAGGTTCTGGTACTGTCATTGATCCATGGTGCTAACCTCCTTGAAGGCAATGCTCCAGCCAAGGAATCTGCGACCTTCATGATTTGCATTGCCTCAAATGAAGTACATGAAATACCAAAAGTCAGAACACAGAACATGTGCATATGTCCAAAGGCGTACGCCGTACTCATGTATGTGTTCATGTGTGTGTTCATGTGTGGAGGCATGTATCTATATATCTATGTCTCTGTGTCTCTGTGTCTCTGCGTCTCTGCGTGTCTGCCTGTTTGTCTGTTTGTCTGTTTGTCTGTTTGTCTGTTTGTCTGTTTGTCTGTTTGTCTGTTTGTCTGTCTGTTTGTCTGTTTGTCTGTTTGTCTGTTTGTTTGTTTGTCTGTTTGTCTGTCTGTCTGCCTGCCTGCCTGCCTGCCTGCATGCGTGCATGTTGTGTGCGTTATGTAAGTTATGCCTGTCATGTACGTTCTGTGTGTCATGGGTGTTATGTGTGCTGCGATGTGTTACGCTATGTCATGTTGTGTATGCTTACATGATCATGTGCGTGCATATGTGCATTTCTGTAAAAAGATGAATAGATATTCACATATGTGTATATGTGGATGTTTGGGTCTCAATTAAAAGATGAGCATGTATATGCGTGCAAGCACATACGTACACATGCCTTTCTGTACGCAACAGATATGTGCATGCAAGTACGCTTCTGTATAAATATATTTTCTGTGTATGTACGTGCACATTTGTGTATATGTCCATGCTCATATGTATCTATGCGCATCTGTGTGATATATGTGCATGTGTATATGTACGCGTATATGATAGGCATATATGTAGATGTGTGTGTACATGTGTGGATGCATTTCATGTGTAGATGCATTTCCGTATACATGCATATGTACGTGCAGTGCTGCACGTTTCTCGTAAATTCATGCATATCACCACGCGCACAAACAATGACGTGTCTGCTACTCCTTCACTCGTTCATCCAAAACACTGTCTGGCGGGAGCTCGATAAATGTTAGCGCTACTATGCGTAGCTAAACTCCCTGAAACCGAGATTGAAACTCGTTAGAGTAAACTATGTTGGCCGTGTGTGTGCGTTACAATACTGACGCTTGAGTTCAGCATGCTGCACCACACACAAATGTTCATATTCAAACGCGACACACAGCGTAATAACGCATTCAAACGCCGCTAGAGACGCAACAAAAAGCACCAACAATGTTGCGGCGCTTGTCGCTTCTAGATGTTTGTAGCACGTTGTTTGCCGTAGTTGGGTTGTCCGGTTGTTCTGTGGGTAAGCAAGGGGGGCTTGTACGTTTTGCCGTTGCCCCGGCAAGTTTGAGGAGAGGGTATGTTTCGGGGCATGTTTCGGGGGGGGGGGGGGGGCGTGTTTTGGAGCGCTTTGCGCTTCGTTCATGTGAGCCAGTGGAGGTTGAGCCAGAGGTGCGAAAAAATACAGACACTGTCTCAGGCATCATTCCAGCTGCCCCCTCTTCCCTTCGCAAGTTCAACACAGTTTCCACGCACATGGGGGACTGACAAGCACCACTGTGTAGCCAGGTGCGGCGCCCTCACCAGTCGCAAAAAACAGATCGGGCCGGGGTCAAAGCGCAAGCGTCATGCGAAACATTCAACCCAGTTGACAAAACTGTTGCCTCAGTAACACAATCAGGTTGGGCCATGAAAATTTCCAACATCGTCCGCAAGGGCCTTCAAAAAAGCCCATGCAGTTTGAGCCAGTCCTGCCAAACACCTTGAGTTCACACTCAAAAGCTGACGAAAAAAACAACATCAGATGCCGCAAAGCTCACGCTAAGGTTGAAACAGGCTGATGCAAATTTATGCCAATTTCGCGTGGGGCCACAAGCTGTAAACCCAAAAGCTGTCGAAAAACCTGCACCGAGAACACGCAGAGTCCGCAAAGCGCACCGTGCGCGAAGTACGCGCCAAGCGCACCGAGCTTTCCGGTGATAATTCTACTGGCGCCGCGCTCAAGGACCAACCGCTGTCTTCTCGCGAGCCTACGGGCGATTCATGACTGCCTCTGCGCTTGAGCTCCAACCAGAGGGTGGCCAATGACGCGCGTCGGAGGCTGCGCTGCGATGACAACAGGAAGGTTTCCGCTAACCGCAGAGCCCATCCTACCCTCTTTCCATCCATCCATCACAGGACGCATGCAGTAAGGCACCATGACATCTCCAAACCGCAGCGTCTCACCTGCGGGCACTTTCCGCTGCGATCACTCGCAATGGCACGACAGTGACCACCGTGTCTCCTGCGGCCTTGGGCAAGAAAGGGCACGCCCGAACAGAAGTCAAGGCTGCCAGGCAATGGCAGCTGCAATCTTGAGGCAAGATCACTTCCTGGCCAAAACCATAGCTCCACGACACCTTTCCAGATTCCCTGCGCCGCCAACTTTTTCAATCTGACACTGAAACAAGGCGTTCAACTCAACCTGTTCTCGGGACATCCATTTGCACGCACGTGGCCACATTGCGATGACATCAATCACATTTCAGCAACGAAGCACTTTGTTAACTTGCTTGCTGGAAATGAAATGCATCAAAGCAACCAGGCGTGTTACCTTGCTGTAGCAAAAGCAGAAAGAGCGCTGCAGCGCAATCCTGAAGAAAAAAGAGAAGCCCGATCGCAGACTCCAATGGCCCAAAAGCCCTGGATTAAAGCCGTCAGACCTGAAGCCTGAAGAAATGATCTTAAAAAATGGGAGGAGGGAGGGCAAAGACTGAGGCAGGTAATTGCAAATGTCTGCTGTGAGCCAGGAACTTTTGTTTAGTAGACTTCTTACTGTTTTTGTTTCTCTCGCATAGAGCAAATGATGGTAAACACGTTCACGCACATCCACAGCCACTGCAAGCGCGCTAGCGCGAATTGTAATAATGTTGGCACACGATTAGTAAAGGGTACCGGAATAATATAAAGTTTTTCCTTATTCTGGTTCACACCCATTGTTTAAGGGGACCAGAATGATAGAAAGTTTTTTTGGCCAGGGGGAAAATTCAAAAAAAAACCTCCACAAAGCAAATTCAATTAAAAAAACCATCCCCCCCCAAACAATCACCCAAAATCCATGTTGACCCCATACCAAATGCCAACAAATTCACAAACATGCCCAAAGAATCACACCTGAATCTCCATCAAAAACTGGCCTCAACCACGTGTGGCTCCTGAACTCAGCCCTGCAGCAGCTCATTTTTGTCTCAAGCCAATGCCAAAATGCAGGTCTGAAGGCCCCTTCAGCCCTCAAGCTCCTCAACAGTCTCAAGGAAAAGGGCATGCTGAGCCTGCTGAATGTGCATGGCTCTTTGCTCAAAAGGAATTTCCTTAAGAGCATGGAAAGCCTCAAGCAAGCCACTGTAGAACTCAATGGTAGCTTGAATCCTACTCAATTTCTGAAATGTGGCTTGCTGAACTTCCTTCAACTCCTTCTCCTGCTGAGCCTTCTCCTCAGTGTAGCCGTCAATGGTCATCTGAAAGCTCTCAGCATGGCTCAAAATGGCCTGCTCCTGATTCTCAACTTCCTTGTTCTCAAGCTTCCTCTTGCCAGAAGACTCTTCTGAAGGAGCTCGACCGATGCCTGCCTGAAGCTGGGTCTCCTGAATCTCATCCATTGACATGGCTGAAAGCACACTACCTAGCAGAAAAGGTTCTAAACTTGCTTGGGCCTGCTGGTCACTTGGTGAACTTCTGCAATGCAGCTCATGAGGCAACCTGGCATGAACCTTAACCTGAAGGCATCAGGCGCTCACACTGTTTTCCAGCCAAAAATCCAGCTCAAAGGCAGCTCACATGGACTTGAAGAGCTGCTCAACATCTTGCTGTCCTCCAGAAAGGCCAATGTGTGCTACCAAATGCTCAATGACACTGCAACTCAAAAACAGCACAGTCAACTGCACCTGTCCTCCAACAAAAGCAAGCTTGTGCTCAAGGTTTGCCTTCCTCTGAACAAGGTACCTGACTGCCTTAAATGCACTGCATGACTGGCAGCCCCCTGAAGGCTCTTCATTTGGTGCTTCTCCTCAAGGGTGAGATCCTTCCATGTGACCCTTAAGGAATTGGTCTCAATGAGCTCCTTGGCTTTGGCTGCTGACTCCTTGTTCTTCATGCTGCTCAGCTTCTCCTCAGCAGCTGCCTTAGCAGCCTGAGCCTTCTTCTCCTTATCCTGCCTCTTCTTAATGTCATTCCCCAGCTGGGTCTGAACCTTGCTAAGCTCCTTTGCGAGGCTTGCTGAAACCTGGATAAGGCGACTCTTCCAGTACTGAACCCTTGAGCCAGGCCACAAGGTGATGGTCTCACCTCTCAACTTCCTGGCCTCCACCTCAATGAAATTCAGGAGGGCTGAATTCACTCTCAAGGGCTCAAACCCAGCCAGCTGAAGCCACTCTGCCACAGCCTGAATACCACCTCAACTGGGCTGGGCTGAACCTTTGGTCCACAACCAGCAGAGCCCAATGGCTTGGATTCTCACTGAAGATTGGCGCACAAGGTGGTTCTTCAGCTTCTGAATCAAAAACTGCTTGTGCTCAACATGCACCTGAGGTGCAATGTTGCGGGTCAAAGCTGAATCCACAGTTCCAAACTGGTCTGAAGGTCTTCTGAAGTGCCCAGCCCAACAGGGACCAGCCCATCTGAATGTGCTGACCCTCAAGCAGAACTGTGTCCTTGCACCCCAGCTAAGACAACCTCACCAAAGCCATCCTCAGGAAGGCAATACAGCTGCTGAAGCTGCCTGAAGGCAGGCCACTGAAAGGTCTTGACCTTCTGAGGCACCTTAAGCTCC